TTTTTTTTTTTTTGAAAAAACGCTTGCTTGCTTTAGTGCTGTCTATATTGTTTGAGTTACCTGAAGTTGTGAATCAAAAGCAGAAGTACAGCAATAGGAGTAGTAGTGATGAATTGTTTGCGTGAGGTGAAGTTGGCCTTTTGGAGGTTGTTGTTTGTTGTATCACTGTTTAACCTGTGGCTAATTCGCGACTATCAGTGTGTGTGTTTTTGTGTATGAATTTGTATTTGTATCTTTCAGCGGTTTATTCGTCTACCTCCAATTAGTTTACGAAAACGACAGTAACACTTCTTACTTCTTACGTCGGTTATTCCCTCACTTAGTTGTTCCAGATTTTCAAATTTGGCAAAAATAGCACCTTGTTGATTTATATTTTTGCTCTACTTTTACCGACAATCTAAGTGTGAAAAAAATTCTTTTACTGGCTACATTTGGTATTTTGGAGTGGACAAACGGTGTAAAGATGAAAGTTATAGGAGCAGAAATGGAACAAAAACTTTTTTTGTCTGTTGCAACCCTCATTCAGTAGCCGATAAAAAGAATCTGTGGTAAAATGGTGAAGAAGTGATAATGGACAATCGATGAACAATGAAAATTTAATAAGGTATCTAATGCGGTCAATCAGTAATTTTTTCAACACTTCATTTTTATGAGGCTTAGAGAGTTCTATTTAGGAAAGCCCAATCAGTTTGTTTTTTGAGGAGAAAATGCAATTTATGTCATACTTCTCAGAAAATCCTTATAAATTTTTCTTTGTTTCGATTTGTTTCCCTCTTTCTTTCCTCTATCCGTCCCTCTTTCCTCTTCCCAATCATTTTTTCCAAACAACATGACGCTTTTGATTGCTAATTTATAACTTTAAAATTTAACTGCAGCAAACTGCACTTTGCTGCTATATTTTTTTGCATGTCATTTACAAAAGTTTATTTATGTATTGGGTTATTTTCCATTAATCGGACGTTTTTTCGCCATCGCTGTGTTTGCATTAGTGCTGCTGTTGTTGCTGTTGCTAAATTAAAAAAAAACCCACCCAATTTTGCACATCGATAACTATTCAACGACTACCACCGCAATTTTTTGGCATTATATTTTTTAGCCTTTTTCTTTCTTCAATAGGTTGTATTTGATGTCTAGACTCATAACTGCTAGATTAGGAGGACGTTTTATATCATTGCAGTTTTTATTTATTGAAATATTTAAACTTTTGTGCTATGACCCATGCTTGTTACCAAATAAATACCTTTCAAGCCATATAGTGACCAACAAGCTTTAACTTTGTCATCATCCATCTGTGTAGCACTTCCAAAGGTATTTTAATATTTCACCAAAAGATCGCAAATTTGCCAGCCCCACTTCATCTTACAGCAGATCTGAAAAAATTTTAATAGTTTTTTCAGTTGTCAATATGCTGTTTACGTACCAAACCTTTTACTTCAGTTACGGACTGATGATTTTAGCATCTGATATTTAGGATGTATATTTTTTGTAACGTTCAGTAGTCTACGACTGTCGCGATAGATTTCACCAAGCATTTGACGAGAACTGTTTTACAAGATGGTTTTGCTTTGATATGAAATAGAAAATACCGTTTATTTTTCTTTTCTAATTAACTTTTATGGCATTTCTAATGTTTTTAAAGTAACCTGAAAAGAACAATTTTGTTGCAGTGCTTTTTATTAAGATGTTTATCTTATACAATCAATAAAAAGACAATTTTTTTTTGGACATTTCTCCTACTTTGGTACCGCCGTTCAAAAAAAGTGGTGAAGACATCTGAATGAGGCAGCTAAATATTAGTAAGGGAGGGAAATGGAGCAGAGGACGCAGTTGAACCAAACTACAGAGTAGAAGCTGTGCTCCTATTTCAGGTGTAGAGAGTCTTTTTGCTGAGCTACAAAAGTCTCAGTTTCATTTGTGCTACAAAATTTGAAACTGTAAGTTATCGGCATTTCATCGGTTCTTTACGTCGCTTTTTATCCCTGATTTTTTTTGCCTATTGGGCCACTGATTATTTGATTCCGTTACAGAACTAGCAACATCGATAGACCTCTTCAGTTATTTTTAAAATTGGAATTTTCTTGGCTGGCATGGCTTTCCAGCTGCTTCTGGTTATCTTGGAGAGGTAATTGGAAAGAAGGAGGGAGGGGTAGGATGGTGATATCGATGATGGAGAAGAAGAAAGGAAAACTTTGCGTTGTGGAGTACTGAAGTAAAAGCGCTTGTGCACTTTTTGGACATGATTACTTGTATCTGCTGACAGTTCCATCTGCTATTGCTGTTATTGTTTCTATTTTTTCTGCATTTCTTTTTTAATAGTCTTTATTAGAAATACGTAGTGTTACCAGCAAAATCAGCATCACTATCTTTGTTTCTTTTTTTCATCATTTTTGTTCTTTTTTAAAGCTTTTATTATTTTTGCCGGTTGAAGTGGAGGAAGTTGTACTTAACACCTTTTTCAAAGTTAAGAAAATTAGAGCAGTGGTGGGAAAAGAGGCTTTTCAAGCTTTTTAATTTAAATATTCTCTGCTGACTGTCAACAGTATACGTGTTTGCTGCTGTTGTAGTCATGCTGCTGCTGCTACTGGAAGAGTTATTTGAGTAATTTCTGGCCTTTCTGTTAAGTTTGTAAACCGCTTTCTTTGTGCAGTTTTTTTAGCTGCCGCTTGGCCTCCTTGGTTCAGGGAAGTTATTCATTTCCTCATTGTGCAAATATATTGCAAGTCATTGGCCAGTATTTCCAATTTCCTCCCTTTTTTATCTATTTTATTACCACAGCTTTTCAAAAGTAGCAACTTTATGAGTCTAATTAATCTTCCATTTAACTGCAGTTCTCTTTGCGGTACGAAGAAGACCTGTGGAAGTTGTTTGATAACGAGCGTCTTTGAAGATAACAATCATGTGGTGGGCAGTTTTTGGTAATAGTATATAAACTAACCATTAGCAGCAAGATTAGCAGTAGTCGCCTTATAATGATATATAAAAAGTAAACGTTTATTTTTCAGTATTACTTTAGTTAAACGTCTGATTTCAAAAATAACTAGTTTATTTATCCATTTATTTGTGCCGAATCACAATTTATGGTTTGGAACACGAGTAATATCATACGTAAATGTTGTTTTTCTCAAGACCGTTTGAGGACCTTCATTTTGTATCATTAATAAGTTTCCACAAAAAAGGTTTATTAAATTGCGTCTATGTAAGTCAAGTTTAGGTTTTTTAATATAACTCGTAGTGACGGTAGCACGATGAATCTGAGTTAAGGAAACTATTCTGTTGTAGAAATTTACCACTTGTTGTGCGATTTTTCTTTGAGATCGTATCGGAAATGTCATTTGAAAGCTTTTGGAGAATTCAAACATAAATATCCGTTTTTTAGCGCTTCGTTCCAAGACCATTATAGGTGTGCTATGTGCTCTGTTCGGTACTGTCGTTTTTCGTAAATAACAGCAGTACATATGTCCGGTATGTCGCTTTATCAATTGATTTCCTTCTTTTATGTAACTTTTCCACTCTAGAGTTCCAGAGTTTTTCCATTTAGGACCACTCACATTAAGTTTCCAAGAAGTAAAAGCTGTTTCACTTGCAAATAAATTTTCAAAGAGAAGAAGACAGTTTTGGACGTGGACTGGAAATCGCTTGTGGAACAAGTTGCTTTTGTAAAATTTGAGTTAGGAATCCTCTGCATTGTTTTGTTGTTAAAAAAAATAAGTACATTTTTGGAAGGTTATCATGGATTTCAAGACGAAATCGGTTTTTCCTTTTAGAAATTTTAGACTCAGAATCTGAGAAGTGTTCAAGTGTTACGGTTTTGTAAGTTACGACTAACTTCCGTTTGATCCTTGGCGGAAGTAACTGTATGGTTCAGGAAGTAGAGCAGTGGAGTTTTTACAGTTTACTTGCAACATATAACTTGCCAAAACCTCTTACTTCACTTGTTATTAACTGCTTCTGGCTTGAATTCCAATGATTATTTTAGATTCATTTTGGAAGATGAAGCATTCGCGTTTCCGTCACGTGTATTCTAAAAGTATTCGACGTAGTGAGTGGTACGATACTGGATCGGGTCATGGACTCGCTACAGCCGCAAACCCAAAGATGATAGCGCTGGCTATTGATGTTCCTGCTGGGGGGATTGTACAGGTTGCCAAGCTTTGTTCGATGGGGAAAGGACATATGGAAATGGGGAAGATCAAGGACCACGAGGTGTTTAACTGTTTAAGATTTTAAAACAGTCTTTGAATTTGATTCATATTTTTTATTAGGTTGGGACGGATTTACTTGCGCTTTAAGAAGCTGATTTTGAAAAATAACAGTTTGAGTCAGCACTAACTTTAGGCGACAAACTGGGGAGTACTATACCGAGCAGATGTTTCAGTTTGTTTATGGTCATCCTTCCAATACGAAACCTTGCACTGTTTTAAAAAGCGCTAATTTGCATGAGACCACCATTATCAGTCAGTGTTAAATTGAAGTCAGGTCACTAACATTTTGTTTCAACTGTGTTGGTGTACTTAGTTACTCCACTGTAACGCTTTCAAGTGGTTAGCAAATCCGTTTTAGAGCTGAAACCAGATTCTGACTATGTTGACGACTACCACTGATATGATGTTTTCAACTATGCGCAAAGAACAGTCAAAGAAAGGCTATCATTTTTTTTGGGGACATCACGAGATGTCTTCACAAGTTGCGCTTAGTAACAGCTTTACGCTAAATGATTTGCAGGTTTTTGATACGAAAATTCTAACTGTAGCGTAGTTCACACTGAAGTTCCTGTTTATGTGATATGTGGTGGCGCTGAGGTTTCTCTTCACTATTTATTTCTGCAAAAGTTTGTAAAAGTTCAGGATCTGTGTTCTGTGCATTGTTGCTAAACTCCTGCATTAGTTTTTTCTATACGGCTGCATTAGGGCAACCTTTTCCAGTTTTTATGAGATGAATCGAATGCGGGTTTATGCGCATGCGTATATTGAAATGTTCTCTTCAAGTCAATTGCGAATCTCTCATTCTAACCACTTTTCACATACACTGATAATGAATAAAAGCACGAGTGATTTCACCCCTACCTAATCTTTACAGTTTTATTTTTTCAGTTACAAAGTATACAAATATTTTATCTGGCTAGTCTTGGTGTTTTACTACCAAAACTGTCAAGGGTTGGACTCCAGAACTGAAAACTTTAAAGTTACCTTAATGAAGGGTTCAGGCTTTAAACATCTTGTATTACATTGTGATCTTCTTTTTCATGCTGTTCATGGAGTGACTGTGTAAAGGTTTAATATTTACTAGCTTTTGGCGTTACTCAGTATCTGCTGTGTTGGTTACTGTTATTAGACTTGTTGGTATTGTTACTGAATGCAAATTCTCTTCTCTTTCAGGGTCCCGTTAGCGATGTGAAGTGGAATCCTTTCAATGATAATGTTTTAGCAACTGGATCTCACGATGCTACCGTTAGGATTTGGCACATCGACGACATTCTTAGAATAAGGTGAGGGCAATTGTATTTATCACAGACCGCAGAACCCCCCTCCCTCTTTCTCCGTTCACAGATTCCAAAAAAAAAACTAAGTTTACTTGAGTGCTATACTTCTTAAAAGATTGGCATTTGGTAGTTTTGCTCTCCAACGTAGGTTTATTTGGAGCTAAATATTATTGTTTCAAGGTGTCTGCGAGTTTTCCGGAAGCATACTCGTCGTGTCCATACAATTGAGTGGCATTGTACTGTGGACAATGTAGTGTTGTCTGCTTCACTTGATGGCCAGATCATGCTCTGGAATATTGAAACTGATGACGTCGTTTTTACGATTGAAGAGTGCTATGCAACATCACTTTCCTTCAGGTTTAAAAACTTTATTTTGGGTTCTTTTTGTTCATTTTTTCTATTGCCATGGGTAATTCTTGTAGAGTAGAAATATGTCATTTGACACTATTGATGTAGTTAGAATTCTTTTACTGTAGCCGAAATTGCTGCGAATTTGCTGCAACGACAAGGTCGCGTGAACTTGTTATTTTCGATTCTCGAACTGGCAAAAGAAGACGTAGCACCGAGTTAGCTCATGACGGCTCGATGGTGCCCCGTGTTGCTTATATTGGCGCAAATTTGGAGTCAGAGCATATAATTACTACAGGGAATTCAAGAAATACTCGTCGTCAAATTGCAATGTACAGTTCGCGTGAGTTAGGCGTTCCTATAGCAGTAGTGGATGTTGACGGGGCTGCAGGATTGTTAATGCCTGTTGTCGATAATGATCTCAACCTGCTTTATGTTACTGGAAAAGTTGGTTCTACTACAACCTAATTTTGCACTCTAGTGGTTCTGGTTTTACTGCATAAATCAGTGTTTCAGCCCTTGAGTTTTGCAGGGTGATGCGAATATTCGACTTTATGAAGTCACAGATGACCCACCTTACTTAAATTATTTGAATGACTCATCCGGTCATAAAGCGTACACCGCTGTCTGTGCGATGCCCAAACGCGGCTTGAATGTTAAGGAATGTGAAATAATGAAGCTATTTCTGGTTGATGCAGAGCAGTTGGTTATAGAACCACTTTCATTTATTGTTCCGCGAAGGGTTGGTGATGGCTTTGTACTATTTATTGTTGTCGGAAAGTTGAGAGGTTCAAAGCCGATAATTAAGTTTTAGGCTGGTTGTTTTCAAGCCGATTTGTTTCCTCCCACAAGGTCCCCCACTCCATCACTTACCTTCCGGGAGTGGCATGCAGGATTAGACAGTGAGCCAATTCTTCTTGAACTGCGTGATTGTATTTTAAATTGCACAAATAAGCCGGTGACCTTCAGCAAGCTTGATGATCGGCGTTCGCCGAAACTCATTACAGCAGATATCAATAACGACCGTAAATTCCGCTTCCTTTCACAGGTAGGGATATCTTGAGCTTGAAAGTTGCAGTACACCCATTCCTTTTTTTCTTATCTGGATATTCCTTCAGCCAACCAGGCCGGACTACAGAGAAGTGTCCCATCGCGAAGATCGTGATCACATTTTGAAGTTGGAGCAAATAAGAGAGAAGTTGGCAGCAGATATTGCTGCTGATAAGGTGACAAAGGAAGAAAGGTTGGATCCGAATATATTATGCATTTAAGTTTTTCTGGTTTGTGGTTTAAGGTACTTTGCTTCAGCGATGATATCGTTAGTGATATTTCTGCGGATGAGAATGCTAAACCACCTTCAATTGTTGTGAGTGAGGAGGTGGAGGCGCTGAATCGCAAAAATGCTTCTTTAACTGACGCTGAGTCGGCTCCTTCCGATATTTTTGAAAGTGCTTCTGTTAAAATGGGTAGGTATTTTCTTCGAAGTGAAAGGAGTCAGGTAAGGATTCAAGTGAAGTGGTACGTACAGTTTTCAATGTTTTTATTGAAGGTACACTCGAAAGCGAAAGTATGACTTCGCTTCGGAAAGTGGCGGATACGAAACCTTCTACAGAACATTCTCCTGTTGCCTCCATAGAAAGTGGGATTGCTTTCCAGGCTCCAGAGCGCCACAACAAAACGCTGCTACATTCAGAAAGCTCTGCGGTTGCGAATAACTGTGACAATGGCACGAGAAGAAACGGTGGTAGTGTCGGGTTGGTTTAATTTAATTGAGTTTGAGCATTACACTCACCTACTTCGCTTCCATGAGTCGTTCTTTAGAGCTTTAAACAGCTGCTCCGAAGAAGCTTTCATGAGCATGATAAAGGAAATGGACAAAGAATTACGCAAATGTCGCGAGCGTTGTGGTCAACTAGAACACGTAGTCCATGTACAACAGGTATGTTCCAATCATCCTGCCCTGGCTTCCCTTGAGTCTCTTGTAACCCATACCGTACTTTTATTACACCTCTTCAGCAAGACATTGAAAGTCTTCGGTTCGAAATAAGTTGGAAGGATAAGCGTATCGAGTACCTTCAGGCGCAATTAACAGAAGTGGATATGGCACATTCAGCATCATCACATTCAAACTGAAATATATATATATATATATATATATATATATAT